CCAAATAAATCCAAGTACCACAGAAGAACTTGAGTTTTGCTACTTGGAATCTGGACAGGCCTCTTTAGGAAAGGGGAAAAAAATAGAAAATAGATAATCCATTCTAATGCACACACTTGGAACAAAAGTTAGTGTGTGGAGCAAGCAGCATGGATCCATGTAAATCCTACCTTGCCCAAGACAGACGAGGGACTTTGAAGGCAACTCTTTCCATCTCCCATCAAACCTGTAAGGTAGCAGCCATTACTTCTGTTCAGAAGCCCTTTGTATGATTTTCCTTCTCCGTGAAAAACATCCAATACATTTGGGGAAATTACTTCAGATGTTAGTAAGGAAGAAGATTCAGATTATGTCCCATATTCACATAGAAGGCACCAGTTCTAGGTGCTACCAAATTAACAATATGCAAAGTTTTTGACACTAATGCCGAACTGCAAATTTTAGATGGGCCAACGCACTAGAGACTGCAATGCACTGTAACTTCTAGTATTTGTTGTGGACTACAAATCCGTTTCCCTAGATTTCTGTTCAATCCTAAGAGTTTTCTAGTGTTCCAATGCAATAAACAAGACTTTCTCTCCCAGACTTTTCAGTCTTGTTTCCCTATCCCTATTTCAACTACCCACGTCTTTAACTCTACTGCAGTTTAAACAGCTCATCAATTTCTAGTCTCTTGACTATTCAAAAGTCTCCTGCAAAACAGTATGACAGTGTCAATGCAGAAATTTGGTTTCCTGCAAAAAGGGCCAAGAGTCACAAAGTTTGTACACAAAGACACTTTAATGCAAATAAATAGTACTATGTTTCATTCTAAGGTGATTCATATCCTCAAACACTCAACATTGAGCTTGTCAGTTTTACCGTTCCCTTGAGAAATTCACTTTTAGTCTAAACAACAGAATTTTAAAAAGACAGCTTTTTAATGTTTCTCTTTTTTATTTAATCAATACTGTATTTCAATATCAACTGTTAAATCTTTATGAGCAACAGGAGCGTACTCTGCAAATTTGTTAATCACTATATAGTCCTCAAAACTCTTATCCAAAACCCATGTATTCCAAAATTAGGTTTCCTCCCTCAACATGCAACATTTGAATAAAAAAGTCCTGACTTACTTACTCCAAAAAATTCCACTGTGCAGTTATATAAACTCAGATCTTTTGTCACCCACTCTGGCTTATGAAGACACAGGTTTATATAAAGGACCTTCAAAAGAAAATTAAAAATTATTTTTCTGAAATTTCTAGAGGATTCTAACACTTTCATTATCATAGCAGTACATATATATAAAGACATTGTGTCCACTATATCGTACTTCGCAATATAATATTTCTGAAGGACTAAAATTGTTCTCTGTGCAAGGCTGTGACATGTTATGCTGTGACTAGATGAGAAACTACTACACAGCCATTCTATTTTATTTAAGCCTTCATAGTTAAGAAAGTACCTGTGTTGAGAGTATATTTATTTAAAAAAAAAAAAAAAATCTTTCTTTAGATTAATAAAAAGTGCACATTCGTAAGTGCAGATTCCATTTCACCATTTCTATTGCTTGTTTGTTCTTCATTTCAGTTTCAATATCTAGTTTTTCATAACATGCTGCAAGGTTTAGACTACAGAAATGAAAGCTAAATTTGCCCTTAATCAAAACACTGGTTTAAAAGATGTTGTTTCCTTATCACCAACACATCTCAAGCAGTCTCAAGTATTTCAAAACCTCGTTTTTCCATCCTACAGAACCAAAACTTCCATCACTAAATAGTGGCCTTTAAAAATAATCTGAAAACAATATACAAAATATTTCAAGAGAGCAGAATAGCTATATAGTTGAAATCAGCAACATAATTTTAAATGTTAAAACAATCTTCCTACTTTTTATATGAGACCTCTGGACAAAAAAGATCATGCATTTTGCATCATTTTCTAGCCCCATATTTGTAAGAGGAGAGGCAGATTTTCAGACAGATTTTTTATTCAGCTAACAGTAAAATCATATTGCAAATGCAGCGCTGATGCTGCCTAGATTCTCTTGCTCACATCCATGATAAGTACCAAACTTCTTATCCTTGCTTATGAGGTTTATGTTTATACTTGATGTCATTGTTGATGACTGATATATGTTAGCTAGTTTTAAAATAACTATATTGGGATACTTGATAAAAACAATACTGAGCTCTGATTTGCTGTGGATATACCATTACAGTTTACACAGGAATATGTCATCTTTGCTCATAGCCAGTGGAAAAATCTTTAACTCAACAGAAAGCATGGAATAGTATGACATTGTAGTAAGGAGTGTCACAGTTTCTATAAAAAATTAAATCTTTATGACCAAACCCAGCAGCAACATGTCTTCACCTAATCTTCTATCAACGTTTTCAGTCAAAATTCACAGGTAAATCCTGTATCCATCTCTGGAGAACATCTTGCAGGAAAGGTAAGATGGAAAGAGAGCAGGTAAAGACAAAGGTGCAATACATGGCCTGCAGTTTCTCTGTGCACTGTGTGCATTTTAGGAGAGGGAAAGTCTCTGTGCAGCTGCATGCAAAACAGTTGAAAGAGCAGAAGTTATTCCAGCCATCAGTCTCCTCCATGCCTTACCCACCCCAAGGGTTGGCTATTGCAACCTGTGAAATGACTGTCAGGCAGGGACACAGCATTATTTCCAGTGTATCCAGATGAAGCACCTCAGCTTGAAACTGCAAAGAAGGATTCTTCCTTACCTTGGCTATTTGATAGGCAGCTGGCTGCATAACAGGGAGTCGTGTTACCAATCTCTCTTCTCAGAGGGAAAGAAGAAAAAATGACTTCACATCAGACTATTACAGATACTAATACTTTTGTCAAAAGCAGAAACACACAGAGATTTTACAAAATACTGGCTAGACACTGTAGCACACTGACTAAAACAAATAATATGAGTACAAGCTTAATAAGGCAGGGTAAAAAAACCCACCACCTTACAATTAATGACACTTTGAAAATGAGTCTGCTGTATGTGATTTCACTGATGCCTGAGGGATACAAAGCTCTTTCTGTTCATGTTTTTCATACTTTCAGTCAAACAGATTGCTGAATAATCATGTTTTCTTTATTTTAATGGGTGAGGAAGCTATTATACAGAAGGTGTTTCCATATGTTGTAGTTAATAAAGGCAATTCTTACTAATAAGAATAGGCTGTCTCTGCTCAGTTATCTGATGAAAAGCCCTCCTGTTGTGAGGAAAAAGCAGATCATGTGGCTAGAAGAGCCTCCTAGGGCTGCACACTTCAGCAGCTACTGAAAAGAATTGTAAACAGATGAATGCCAGGTCTTATCCAATTGAATCCAAACCAGTGACATTCATTAGGATACGAGGAGCACATCATGTCATAATGTCATAATCTCTCTTTCATATTCACCCTTTTCTTGCTTATGAAGGGCAGTGGACAAGACCTGGATCCATCACTCCAGAAAATCATCAGCAAGTTCCTTCAGGAGGTCAAGGTGCTTTCTTTTTCGAAGAAGCATCTGGGTCACTGTCTCAAGAGCTCAAAATCCTATATGAAGTGTATGGCTAGTTATAGGTTGAGATCACAGATGCTCCTTCAAGCTGAAACCATAAATCTTATGGGGGGGAATAATTATTGGAGAATCACTCAGAGGTATGAGACACTAGTTAAATCTTTGTCTTTCTAACCACTGAGTTGAGCGCACATCCAAAACTGGATGAAAGTTTCACATCTATACCATACTGTTAGAGCTACCTAGTAAAGAGATAGAAAAAAAAAAGTCTTGAAACTCATCTCAGCTTACTGTGATGTGTTCAGGGTCTGACTACCTCTTAAAAAGCCATATGGAAACCAAACCTATTGAAGGACACAACTTGCCTCAGATAATCAACATATCCCAACTAGGTTTACACAGCAGTGCTACAAACTGGTTGCCTCTTGATTTTAAAGTAGAGCAGATTGTTCACCTGTAAGTACCTGAGTAAAAAAAAAGACCTGCCTCTGTTGTCATTCCCACTTTCAGGGGGACTGACAGTTTCCTACAAGTAGTTTCAAAAGGCACATCATCTCTCCATGGTAAGTATCTGCATGTAGCCTTACAATTATGAATTTCAAAGCATTCTACAAGACATCTTTTTATCCAGATATATCAAAATGTATAAATTATTTTGTGGAGAGACATTTCTAATAGGAAATATCCTATTTCTTCATGTTTTCCTGGGAATGGCATTCTGCTGGTTTTCACTATTCAGAACAGGCTTCAAGAAATGCAAAAAATACCCAAAGAAATAGGTGGATGCTTGCAAATATATAGACAAGGGGACCAGTTCTTACACATGCAACTAGTCCAGCTGGATGTTCATTGCCACACTTAACACTTTCCAGGATTTTAACCAAAGCTAATATGGCCAGCATTTTGAAAACTGGCCAATAATTGTGGGCACTTCCTAATTTGGTCTAAGTTTCAGAACTGCTAAACAACTCCTTTTCCTCATTTCAGAGTCTGGATGCTCAGCAGTTCAGAAAATCAAATCCAAAGTGACTCAAGCCAACACTGAAAAATATGAACACCCAAAGTTTGCAGCTGTTGTTGAAAATGCAAGCCCCTCAAGCCTAAATCTCACTTTGAAGACACTACAATAGTTCTGAAAGCTGCATATTTTATCAAGCCACTAGAAGGCATAGACAAATGTGGTGGGTGGACTCTGTATCCATACTCCTTCAATGTGGTCAGTGCAAATAGTCCCTCCTTGACCAGCCAACACTGATGACTGGGAATGGAGGAAACAGCAGGACAATCCACGATAGGCCTGCACAGTGAACCAGAAGTAGCCCTTGCAGAGACGAGGGGAAACAAGGGCTGCTGTTGGATCCTGCCCAGAACATAGAACCCAGCCACAATGTGTCCATACAGTGTCTCTGTCTTGAAGGTGTGTAAGGTCCTGTTGTATCTGCATTCACAATTAAACATGATTCTGACATGATTACGGTGCTGATGCTGTTATATCTTCAGTGCATGATGGTTCCTGGCTCTGTTCGTGCCTGCCTATTGTTTGTGAGAGACTTTGTCTTGGCAATGATTGGAGAACAAGGTGTTCTGGAAGCTCTTTTCAGCTGTGATCTGGTGAACTTCTTACGGATTTTTCTGTATGGAGGGAAGGAGGAAAGGAGAGAAAGAAGAGAGAGACAAGAGAAGAGATAAAACTCAGTCTTTAAAAGACCTCTCAAGAGCCAATAACAAACATAAGCAAATACTCTTACCAGAGCAGAAAGGCTAGTTCATGGAAAAGAGACTTGCAGTCACCAAGAGTGAGCCCTGTTCATCAACTGATGATTCACAGTGGTCTCCAACTAGTAACTGATAATTGCTCAGCAAAAAGTGAGTTGGTGTTAGACTATATATGGATAGTAACATTTAATTATATGAAATCTTGGACCAGAATGCTCACACGAGGAATCCTCACATGTAGTATCAGCACAGGGATGAAGGACCACAGAAGAAAGAATCTCATTAGCACCCAAATGAATGTGTTATCTCTGTAAAAGTGATGTACTGGGAGAAATTGTTATTTGCACTATATCAGTTCTGTAGTTAATGAACCTGAATCTCTGGCCTTTTTGTACTAGTATCTTTCAGGTGCAGTAAATTAACTTTAATTTCAGACTTTTAGATGGTAAATCAGACATATTAACTACAGGCAGTCATGTTGTTTGTAATGTAATCTTATACATCCAAGGATAGTTAATTCTGAAACAAAAAGCTTTCTTATGTTCCAACTGCTCTGACTCTCTACTATTATAAATCAATAGCCACAACACTGAGTGTATCCAGAGCAGAGTATCAGAAAACACAGAAATGACACACACAGAGTAAGTAAAGAAACATCTTCATTGGCAGGGTCCTGAATATTAGATGTTACTGGAAAATTACTTATTTTTTGAATTCACTCAAGTCTAGAATCCCAGCTTTCATTTAGGTAGTTTTATAAATTACAGAGATTTTGAGCTTATGGAAATGAATTAAAGCAAACTGGAGCCTCTAACACTAAGTGAGACCAGCCTTTCTAATTCAAACTTTCCAAGTTGAAAATGTGACCTGACTACAAACTACAGAGTGGTGATATGTCTACCTGCATCAAGGCTTTGAGATGGGAACTCAAGAAGTGATGTGTCCCTTTCATCTTAATGGGCTGTTAACCCTGAAACTGAAAAATGGTCACACGTGACCTTGAAAATACAGGATCAGCTCAAATTAAATTGTATTGAATATTAAAATGATAATTTGCATATTATATTTCAAACACATATTTAGCTACTGGTTCAATATTCCTCAGGAACATAAGCTTCTAGTTGAGTAACTGGGCCACAGAAGAGAACATAATCAAAGACAAAAGAGAAAGCCAAACATCAGGAGAATACACTGTGCTCTTAGAGGTTAAAGGAAGCCTGAAAAACACATCTATTTTGGTTAATACATTTAAAAGGTGGAGAGAAATATTCATTTTAGCTGCCTGAAAGCAGGATGTTATTAGCATCTCTTGGCCTGGAATACCAAATTAGGATTTAGAATCATTCAGTAATGATTAAAGACATCTCTGCACAGCAAAAGAAAAGGAAATTAATCGCCAGAAAGTTAAGTTTAGGTTGTTCACACAATCCCACAGAGACACAGACTTCATATTTGAGTACTGACTTTACATGGTCATATTAAATTAGGCCTAAAAAGATATTGAACTGATTGACAAGATACTGCATGCCTTCTGGAATGATAAAATCATAAAAATGTAACCTGAGACTGGTAGAAACATGTATTTCTAAAATAATAAGACAGCTAGGTGTTGTAAATTAATGTGAACAGATAATAGCTGTTACCCACAATGATTATTAATAGGGATCATTCCAGCAAAATCTTACAGAACTAGATTCATTTTGATATATTTGTTTGTAAAACTTTGTATTTATTTACAGAACTAATGTGGTCATTAATAATTTGAGAATCCAATGGTTTAAAAAATGTTAGATAATAGTTTGCCCTTTTGAATTTTTAATATAGCAACTTCATAAACTGCCAAGAAGTCCCTACTAATGAAAGCAATTTGCAGCTGACACTAAATGTGAGGTCAGTAAAGTATTTGCGATTACAATTTGTGATTATTGTATAAGGAAAGTAAAGTCAAAAGATGTAGTTATTCTCATTAAATACTGTTTCAAAATTAGCATTAAAAAAGGTAGAACAAAAAAGGAGGAGTCATCAGCATTACATCAAGCAAACCTCAGAGTCAACTTTTCACTTAGTATAAATTAAAGTAGCTCTATATAGACTTTCAGAACTAATCTGATATGCACTCTAAAGAAGACAAACCAGCACTTCTATTTCAACAGGATTGTGAAAATGCTTCCAGAAATTAGCTTTCCAGGATATACTCTTTCAGAAATCAAATTGGAAGAATGGAAGTTTCCACTGACTTCATTAAATGTAATATTTAAACAACCATTTCACTAAAAGCCCAAAGTGTTCTTTTTGCTGCAAAAAATATAGAGGGTGGAGGGAATTTATTCTTTACACTGAAGAATTTAGCATCAAGCTTTTTGAGAGGCAGTGATCAGGTTTTATAATGCTTCAGAGGTTTTTTTTTCACACTTAAACATGCAGGTTGTAATAGTAGCTGATGAAAGGCAGGAAATTCAAATATAAGGTTGTCAGCCGCCAGAGCACTTCGACACACTCTCCTCCCTCCCCCAACAATACAGTGAATTAAGGGCAGAGTCACCTTTAATGTTCAATTTCCTGTCCCTTTTTCAGTTAATACCAGCCATATCTTTTAATTACATAAATCTTATATTTGGTGATGGCAAGTAAATGGCTTTAATATTTGTGGCGTTGATAACATCCTTTGCAGTTGTTATGAAAGAGTAATTGCCATTTTCCCCTGCTTTTTCCTTTGACTTTTGTACTAGTGCTTGAAGTATGATGCGTTACAGACTTCATTTGAAATGCAAATTAAAAAGTATTTTAAAGCTTTTGCATTGTATTTCTAGTCCTCTTGAGACCCAAGGTATGAGAATGAATCAAACTTTTAATAGGTGATTGGTATCTAAAGCCCACTGTGCTCATTTTTATGTCAGATGTGATGCACTGTTGCTAATGTAGGAATCAGACAAATTCTTTATGTCTGCATGATACTTCAATTAGTAACTGCAGATAAAGGCACATAACACCCGTGGCACCTATTCAGGGAAATACGGAAATGTACATAAGTGCCACACACTATTAAGACCTATCTTCTCTTTGCGAGTTTCATACACAGACTGTCATCTCCTGGGTAGAAATAATAGGCTCTATAGGGCATTTATGCCATGCTTGAACTTAATCAGGCAAACCATTTCAATGAGCCAACCCTTTCTCAGGATCTAAGTGAATTCCATGTAACTAACCGTCTGATGAAGTTAAACACAATCCTATGTAATCTGTTATGTCCAGATTTCTCAGGAATAGGATAGCTGGTAACAAAAGTTCTCATTTGCAAAAACTGACTCAAAGGTGCCTGCTCTAATTATGCCACACACTAAAACAGTAGCCATTTTTAAACTTGAATAAAATAAGAAAGGTGACTTTTGGTTGTTAGTCAAGAACATGTTTTTCAAGCCTTTTCTAATAGGAGCTAAAGGCATTCCTTGCTTTAGCTCTGTTGATATCAGGCCTATCTGCCTGTTACTGTTTCTATATATAAACTGTTGTGCATCAGTCTTGCCTCCTCTGCATTAGCCTCAGAGTTGTGATAACTAGAGTCACTTTGGTCTATTCAGCTATATCAATAATACTTTAAAAGTAATACTAAATAAATTCAAGGTATGGAAGAAGTTTTTACTGTGAGATAAATTAATTGAATATAAAGGCCCACTTAAATTTTAGCAGATGACTAAACTTGTTTTGAATGTGAATGGAAAGAAACAAACATTTTCCTATTAAGGGAAATCGTCCCCAACATACACACTTTTGAAATGTCCATAATTCTTCTTAAACACCAAAGTCCAGACATGCTTTTGATGCCCTGTTTCCAGTAAAAATATATTAAGGATCTAATACAAAACTGGCTACAGAGTTTTAAGCTGAAGGGTATAGTATTATGTTTCATGCTCTACCTAAATTATTTTGATATTTTTGCCTGAGTCTTTCTTAGACTGATGCCATTTGAGCAACATCCTTTTATATAAAGACCTAGCGCTGTGGAAATGTGTTATTACCCAATTGTTGCTGGTAGCACAAGGAATATGCACAGGTTGGCAGCAGGTGTAGGAGAACTGATTCTCTGGACAATCATAGCTGCAATTCCACCTAATCTCTAAATTGGGGTGAAGTATTCTGGTATGACTTGCCAATTGTAAACAGTAACTTAAATGTGTCAGGGGCACAAAATACTGACAACCCTGGAAGAAACTGGAGTTCTAGACATTAACCACAGCAAGGCAGGATTTTGCAGTCTGGCACAAGTTTTATGTGAAACTTAAAATCAGTCTAACCATCAAGACATTTGGAGGGAAAAACTACACTAAAAAAAAAAAGTCTTCTAGACAAAGATTCACGAAGTTGCTGCTGCTCCAGGGCAATGTAAATTTTGTGCAATGTAAATTTTCAGTCCAAGCTCAAGGCCGGTTAGCAAAACCAACTTTTTTAAAAACAACCATCATTCCTTAGGGGGTTATTAGACCTAATTATCACTCATTTCTCTGAGGGCTTCTTGTATCCAGACATACACTGTAACTATTCAGTGCATTAAATTACAAGAGGGGGCATTATATTAGGTGGTTGATAGGCTTTCTATTAATTTCAACAGGCTTTTAAACATAGTGAAAAGCCAAAAGGGGTGCAATGCTGAATCTGCTCAAAGAGAATTTAACTGAGATGAAGCTGTAGGCACAGATCCTTAGAAACCTGACAGGTTACAGAGAGATTGAATGACTCATAGCACTTCTTACATTTCTACCTGTGTGGAAATGAGAAGTATTTTATTTAATTGTCTATTTGGCTTGCTCATTTAGACATCCCCCCTTTTTTTTTTTCTTCCCCTCAGCACTTTGAAGCTAAAGTTTACCCATCTTCCATTAAAGTTTTGATCTAAGCTCAAAATGACAGAAACTAGGAGA